TCTCACCTGAAGCACGGCTGGCTGTTGACTGGCTGACCCCACACACACACACCCACACACACACACACACCCACCCACCCACACACAGCAGGTGTCCGTCAGTAGAAGCATATGTAAAATGTTTTTCTGTAGAAGCCTTGAAGCTTATGATGACCTGCCGTTAGCATCTTGGCCTGTGTTCCCTGTAGAAGTGCTTTCTGCCTCCTTCACGTCCTCTGCATGCCGGCACGTCACTGTCACCAAGTGTGTGTGTGTGTGTGTGTGTTCTGTGTGTGCAGCACCATCATAAAGCCACAGCAAGGTGAAGGTTACGAACACTGAGGCTGACATGCTTAAAACACAATTTGAAGTGTATTAAATAGTGGGAATAGATGGCAGTTTTTGTGTGAAGAGTTACGCTCGTAGGCTTTCTTAATATTATTATTATTTATTTAACGGGACGGCAGTGAGGCTTCATGCTGGTGTTGCTTGTTTACCTGCATGATGCGTACAATATTCATAACGAGACATTATAGTAATGTATAATTGATAGAGACGTGGACACTGCTCACTTCACCCGGCCTCTCTGTTCCCTCTGGTCTTACGCAGCAGTATTATTTCCTGCAGTTACTTCAAACTGTATCTGAAACAATGGAGGAGTTGTTGTTCAATTGAAGGCGTCATTGATTGTTTATTAGTGAGGTTAACAGCTGCATCGCTTCATCAGAAAAAAACATAATAAAATTGGCCTCTCAAATCTGGAGATATCTTGTTTTTAAATATTAAATCATTGCAGGTGATATTTTCGCTGCTAATATGATATCTAGAAAGTCCATCTTTAAGATATCAGGGATGGAGCTTGTTTATTTTTTACAGATTTCTCACAGAAACCAAATGTTTATTCAAGATATGTGCAGATGTATCTTCGTTTTTTACCACATCCATAAGATATTCAGTGTATTCAGGAAGAAAAAGCTACAAATCCTCAATTTACAAAGCTGTAAATGTCAAATTAAGCATTTAAAGGCAAGTAAAACATGTGTTACTGCTTCATAAGACTGCGTAGGAAACAGTTCCTTTAACTCCTCCTGTAGCATGCTGACCGATCTCCTGCATTATAACATTGTGAATCTGAGTCATGTGTACTAAATGCTAAATAACATATATATTATTTTCTGTGTTTGTGAAGAATAAACTCAAACTGCAAGATCTTGGCCAAGTTGATTTTTACTTTGGACTATACCCAAACTTCTTAATATATGTTATAAAATTTGCAGATTATATTCAACACACTTATCTCTGTTTACTTATTATATATATCAGGGTTTTGTCTGCACCCGTAAAATGTTAAAGTGATGCCAGAAAAAAATATTTCTGTTCCTTAAAAACGGTATAATTACTCCAGAAATATGATAATCAAACGGAGCGTCAGATTGAACAACATCCACAGTATCACTATCACCTGATATATGAGAGTAACACATGCGTCACTTCTGGGCAGAAATGACGGCTCCGCCCACTTTGGGGGGAAAACAACGCTTTCATTTGAACGGCGGTCGATACAAATTCTGAAGTTTTTGCCAATCCGATCAGAAATGTAAGAAAACCGTGGATGTTTGGATCTTCAAAGAGCCGGATTACGATGGCCAGACAGGCAAACAATCACATGAAACTATTGGAAATCGACGATCGGGCTCGATATATGGTTAAATATAGCAGTAGGCGATCGATGCCCATAGATGAGAGTAACGTCTAGG